AAAAAAAAAAAAAAAAAAAAAAAAAAAAAAAAAAAAAAAAAAAAAAAAAAAAAAAAAAAAAAAAAAAAAAAAAAAAAAAAAAAAAAAAAAAAAAAAAAAAAAAAAAAAAAAAAAAAAAAATAATAATAATAATAATAATAATAATAATAATAATAATAATAATAATAATAATAATAATAATAATAATGAGGCACATAATCTCACATTCCGAAAAATAATAGCATGCGTAAATGCATAAAGAAAATAATAGAAAAGAAAGAAAAAAATACTTAAAAACAGAAAAGAGATCGCCACTGCAGATTGGCTCATAATCTTAAATCATTTACTTGGGCCAATCCTAATGCCACAAACTCATTTCACTTTCAATCATCTGATTAGATGGTGATGATCATCTGATTAGATGGTGATGATCATAATATCTGATTTTGCACATTTTCATGTGACCCACTTTTTGTATTCCCTTAAAGGGACCTTTAGCTTTAGAATAAACGAGAGAGTCCACATAGTGAAAGTGACATCATCTATATAAACTCACACATTTCCATTGTTCCACATAACTAAATTCATCACTTTAAATTATCTCCTAGTCTCACATTTTGAGTGTAGGCAATAATATACTACTTAAATATGGATTTCAATGGTAATTCAAATGCCGGTTCTTCCTCTAGATCAAAAAGAGTCATAGGCAAAAGCAGCAACAACCGCAGCCGCAAATACATCAACATATTGAAGAAATCAAGTATGTAGGAGTAAGGCGGAGGCCGTGGGGAAGATATGCAGCTGAAATAAGAAACCCTACTACAAAAGAGAGGTATTGGCTAGGTACTTTTGATACAGCCGAGGAGGCTGCTTTGGCTTATGATAGAGCTGCACGGTCCATAAGAGGCTTGACTGCTCGGACAAACTTTGTCTACTCCGATATGCCTCGTGGCTCTTCAATGACTTCCTTCATCTCTCCTGATGAATCTCAACGTTTTATTTCCGAATTATTCAACCCTCCATGTCAGCTAGAAGCTCCTAACAATAGCACCAATAACCAACACCAAAACTCTAATGAGTTCGCATACAATGGGTGGCCACAGGAGTCTGGATATGGTTATCAATCTATGAAATCTAGTTATGAGCATTGTGATCATGAGCTTCCACCTCTTCCTTCAAGTACATGTTTTGGAGCTGAACTTACTATTCCAGAGACCAATAGCTATTGGAATGCGGCGAATGCCTTTGTGGATCAAAACAGTCTTGGTGAGAGTGGAACAGAAGGCTTTGACTCTTCATCCTCCTCGTTCTTCTACCAGTAATAGCGAGATGTCCAAGTTTGTGAGTTCATCGTTGATATGTAATCCCCTTTCGTTATTCACAATCCTTTTTGCCTCTATTATTGAGTGGACTGGAAGATATCGAGTCTCTCTCTCTCTCTCTCTCTCTCTCTCTCTCTCTCTCTCTCTCTCTCTCTCTCTCTCTCTCTCTCTCTCTCTCTCTCTCTCTCTCTCTCTTGTAGCGTTTTATCTTTCTCTGAAAATTCAGCGAATGTTTGTGTTATTGTGGCTTATCAAATGCAAGATTTTTTTGATCGCTTGTTAATTCTTGTAAGTTTGCGACTGCGAGTAAAATGGCATTATTGCTTCAAAGTCTCATTCTATTTCGGTCTATAACTTTATTTAACTGTGGCGGTGATAGTAAACAATAAAAAGCGTAGTTCCAATCTATATATATTTATACATTTTGAACTTTTGTTTTGTAAAATACTACATTTCGAACTTGTAACTTTTGAGAAATGTTTTGTAGAGAAAATGCACTAACTAACCTTAACTTTCAACTTTAATGATTACACTCACACCTATTATGATTTAATGTTCTTACAACTTTGAGATACTCTTCATGGAGTCAATGGTTTATTTTATCAGATATCGACATCACGCTATTTTATCTGAAAACACACTTCTTTTTATATTTGTTCTTTGGTATGCGATTGCTATTTTACTTGATGACATACCTTGTTCAGGTACCATGCTAGTTAATGAAATGGCATATGCTGTTGTTCTCATTCAAACCGACTAGGTTAATATGCACCGGAATGAACATTATAAATACAAATATTTATATATCTTATCATTTATTTGTGTTTTTACGTATTATGATATAATAATATTGAATAACTGAAAAAAAAATATTGAATAACTGAAAAGTCAGTAACTATTATCTATATAACTAAAATGGTGCGAGCACATAAATATAAATAATCACTGTTATTTATTTACAATAGATAAATCCAAACAATTATTTTGTCGATTTATATGATACTAGGGTAAACCCGCCCGTAGGGCGGGATATGCAAATGAAAAAAAAAAATATATATATATTAAATTTTAATACATAATTAAAAATATGTAAGTCTTAGAAAATAACTATTTTTATTTTTTTTGTTTGAATATAAATTTATCTAGTTAATAATAATATCAACAATTAATCAGTGTAACTATTTTCATGGTAATGTATGTTTTAACTTAAGTCATAATTAAGTAAATAAGTTATTTAAAATTACAGATGAACTTAATTAATGCATGAATATAATGGATTATTTATCTCTTTTATACATTTATACATGTTTTTTAATCTATTACTATAATTTTACACTCCCTCTGTTTCTAAAAGATCTATATTCTAGTTTTTTCACACTTTTTAATAAAACACAATAAATTAGCATAGTTTTTTGTATTTATCTTATTTCCATAATTTTAAACCAATCATAAATCAATTAGTGTAATTAAGTTTTTTGAAGTTTACAATTAGTTAATAAAATATGCAATGAAAATGTAAAAAAATGGATCTTTTAGAAACAATTGTTTATTCTAAAATATATATCTTTAAGGAACGGAGGGAGTATTTCTTATACATTATCTTCTAAATCCGCGATAAATGATTACAAAATTAATAATTATTGATATTTATTTTACCTATTTAAAATTCTAGTGTTTTATGTATCCTACATTGCGATAAATTTGTGGTAAACCTTTTATACGTGCATGCGTTTTAGTTAGTCTCATTTAAGGTAAAATTTAAGTATTAAATAAATATATAATGATTTTTCAATTTAGTCTTCTTGCAGTAATTACGTCAATAATTTTAGTCAAATATGTTTATATCCACTGCGATTGTAATTTGCCGCCGGTTATAGTTTTGGTGCTAGAATCGTGTCTTATTTTTGAAAACGTTTTATTTTAATATTTTTCAAGTTGAAAATAGACAATCGTTGGGCCAGAAAAATTTGCTGGCTAACGAATATTTCCTTCGATTGATAGTACTAATTGTCTTAATAAAACTTTTTTTTGGCTGAAAAATGTAGGTAGTAAAATTTTATTTTTATCTAATTAATTTTAAATTCTACATTTGTCAAGAACAAAGTAAATGTTTACTTTTTGTTTAATGTGAGTGAAAAATCTGTTGTATTTTTCTTACCAAATATTACAGAGAATACCTCAAATTTAGCCCCATTACAAATGTTTCTTCGACAAAATATGGTTGTTTTCTGCGCTGTTTGAAACCATAAACTAAATACACTTGTGATAGACAGATGTTAGGAGATACGATTGAAAAAGTTTCATTTCTGTATTAAAACACACACGCATGATTTACTAAACGTTAAAGCACTTTTTTCTTCTGCAAACAAATATTCAAGAAATACAGTGAGATCATACCTTGCTCGGATACGTGTAATATGTAGAAAGCGTTTAGGGCGGTATCTTAAATGGTTTAATGTGACTGGCTATGCTGAGTTAGAGGTATCTCTTGCCGAGACTAAACGAACCTAGATGGTGAGAATGATGTTCAAAGAATGAAAAATCACCTTTTTTATAGATGGAGATACACTATAGGATAAGGAGCATTGAACATGAAATCATGCTAGATGGAGTTAAGAAGTTTGTTGAATGCGATGAATCGATACCTTGTTACGTTTCAGAGGTAACGTTTCGGAGGACAAAAACGGCAGACGAAACGACGTATTGATGCTTTCACACAGAGGTTCTTCACGACAATTTGTCTCACTTACCCTCATGAAACTCCATTATTGGTGAAGGTCCTCAGAGAGTCAAGGAGAAGGATGAACCCTAAATCTGGTTATTTTCTTGAACGACGAAGAAGATAGCATTCTCTGTCGAGCTGTTTTTTCACTTTCAGAATACTTAATTACAAAAGAAAGAATCCATTAAATGTTCAAGAGAAAGCCCATTTTCGATAACATAAGACAGATGTCGATTTCTAAGCTTTCTATTTGTTTTTTTTTTGTCCTCTTTCATTAGGCACAAAGGCCATACAACGAATTGGACTTTATCAAAAGACCCAAACCTAATTACATAAACATAAAAAATCCAACAAATGGACTCAGACATCATTTACATACGTGTCTAACGGACGAAGATCTGCGAGACACGTGTTGAAACACGGGAACTTCAAGCAAGCCTTGTCATCTCCGCCGCTACTACACCGCATCTCACCTCCACCGCATATTGTTCATCTTGAGTCGATCTTCATCAGTTTGAGCCTCCGAGAAATTTCCAAATTCGCCGACTTCCAAGCTCCTTCTCTCGCCGTGATTTCTTCAACAGATTCAGTGGTTACTGGATATAAGCCCAAGATGAAAGCTGATACAGTTGATGAACGAATTATTGTCAAGACGCTTCATAAAAGCCCCAACACGACAACAAATTGATCAACATGAATCAACAATCTAACCACCCTTCAATCAACCAACTTGACTCCACTTCAAACGACTTACTAAATACAATAAGAGTAAGATTTATGATTGATTAAAGAGGAAAAGACATGAACCAGCAACGAAAGAAACAGTTTTGAAATCAAACAGGATTCAAAGTAGCTCACAGAGCTTGAAGAAACAAAAATGGTCTTAATCAAAGAAAGATATGAGTGAAGAGCAGCTTTGAGATCAACACTGATTAAAACAAATCGGAAACTCTATTTCATTCAACCCAAAAAACGAAATTGGTAAGAGTTCAGCATAAAACTTTCGATTTGAGTTGAAACACACCAAAATCGATCTAATTATAGATCAAAAAGATGAATACTTACATCAAAAAAGAAAAAAAAAATAGAGTTCTCTCCCTCTCTAATCTAACTATACCCTCTGAAATATTTGATGTTTGGTAAGAGGATAAGAGTTTTCGAGAGTAACCTCTCTTTAAGAGAGGCAAGAGAAGTTAGCTTTCTATTTCAAAACAATCAGAAGGCCCAACAAAGCCGCATCATTTGGTAACCGAGAAAAGTGAAACGCAGCGCATCGTTATCTTGTGACAGGTGTCATGCACGGGAAGAAGCAATTAGTGACGTGGCAGCCTGAAATGATAGAAAACTCTACTTTATAATAATAGATAGATAACTGAATTTATATGATATTAATATACATATAGTATATTTTAATATGAATTAGTTGTTGAGCTGCGCCCGCGGGTGTTTGATTAACTTGTGTTCAACATAAATTCATAAAACGCTGATTTTATAAAAATCTATATATATTTTTATGTTTTGTAATTTACATATAGAATATAATATATTATTTTATAATATAGATGTTTGATAATATTTTTTATTTGTACATGATATTATATTAAGTATTTTATAACTTGATGTAATTATACTAATCATATATTAACATGATATGTTTTTGTTAATTTATTATAAAATGAAATAATATACTAATTTTTTTTTAATTTGTAACATTAGTTTTCTATTAATTATTATTAATTTTCTATATCGTTTTTTGAAAATTGAACTCTTAGATTTTTTATTAAATTAAATAAAATAAAATAATAATATATCTAAAAAATATTTTATATAATATATATAAGTGCAAAGATGACACCCTAATAATAATGCAGAAGATAACTCAAGAGACAAAATAATACAAACAACCACAATGCTTTATTATAATTTCCTTTAAACAATCTATTACAAGACTTGTTTATTCTGCTTTTACATGTCTAGTGTTAATACCCTAATATACGTCACTGAAAGATTCCTAAGGTACCCACTTGTGTCTCTCTACCGTCAGCACGACCCAAGAACACTTCTAAGAGTCTCTCTCTCTCTCTCTATAATATCAGCCTATGTGTCTCTGTCTCTTTACAGACGACCCCATAGCTATCTTATATTTATTTTCTACGTTCCTAAACCCCTATTCTCCAATGAAAACAATATGGAAATCTTCCATAACATTAAGTACAACTTTTTTTTCTTGGAATGCACTTATTCCACTTTCTTTAAGGTTTAAACTTGCTGTTCAAGT